TTTTTTATTGTTAAAAAAAAAATTTTTAATAGTTTATTATGAGCGATAAACAATTCCATACAGTAACTGTTGCTGGAGCTACAGGAAATTTAGGATTTCATATTGCAAATGCATTTTTAAATGAAGGATCTTATAATGTAATAGCTCTTCGAAGAAAACCAGAAAATATTAATGAAAAAGCTAATTTATTAGCATCAAAAGGAGCAAAAATTGTATATGCTGATTTTAATGATAAAAGTGATCTTGTTAATGTTATTAAAGGAACGGATGTTTTTATTAGTGCTGTAGGTTATGGTGATTATTATAATAATCAAATAATGCTTTTAGATGCTTCTAAAGAAGCTGGTGTTAAAAGATTTATTCCATCTGAATTCGGTAGTGAATTTGCTCAAGGGTTAGTTCTTTACTCTTTTACTGTATATTGATATGTATTTTTTTACGTTAAAATATTCATGTATAAAATGATAATTAAGGGTGGAACCTCATCCAATTCTTGCGGGAAAGTATAAACTCCGAGAAGTATTGGAAAAGAGTGGTCTTGAATATACTTATATTTTCAATGGAGTATTCTATGAATTCATTGAAGTATTTGGTTTTGATGCTAAAAATAAGAAAGCAACATTCTATACTGATGGCAATGCAAAAGTGCGCATTATTTCTTTAGCTGATGCTGGAAGATATACTGCTGAATCACTTAAAATACCTGAGGCTCGCAATGGCATTATTAGAGTTGGTTTCACTCTGACTCTTAATGAGTTACTCCAAAAATTTGAAGAGGCATCTGGTATGATTGATTCTTTTTTTATGAGCATAAAAATTTCAAATAAATGTTAATTTTATATTTATTCAAGGTTCTAAATGGGAAGTAGTTGAAGATAAAGATGTGCAACGCCGATTTAAAGAAAAGATTGATCCTGTCCCACCACTTATAGATGATTTTAAAGCTTTCATATCTAATAATGCAGTATACCATGATGCCGATAATGATAAATTCAATTTTACTCCTCTTTCCATTACTGAATTTCTCAATTCTAATACTGTATAAACCATTCTTAAGCATTATCATCGCAATAGAAGAATAGAAAACTCGATGTTTGTGTGTCCGCTTGCATAGTGAATTATTGAGTTATAAATTAATTAATATTAATAATATTAAATAGCCAGCCTAGTCTCAATTTTTTTTTTGGAATTTTGATTGGCTGTTTATATTGCAGATCATTTTATTCAATATTTAATTGGTTCAAAAAACTACATAAAATATTTGGCTATACAGTATAATGTATATATACAGTATATAAATTTATTGATAATAGTTAATATAGTACAGCAGTATTTATATGTAAGAAATGGTGACTTTATAAGTTCGTGCAATTAAAATTATTACAAATTTTTTATGTTGAGGAAATCATGTTTTTTGAATTTATTGTTCTTCATAATAGAAGGGGAATTCTTCCCCTTCTATATAAACAGCAACATATCTTTGGTCTCTTCGCACTTCATCCTCAAGGGAGACGCTTATCTCGCCATTTTTCTTTTTAACTCCTACTCCATTCCAAGGAAAATTAAAACAACTTTTTGGAGATACTAAATGTAAACCTAATTGCCCCGCTTTAGGGTGACATGTTACCCTTATACAGCCGGGATAACATTTCTTTACAAGTTCCATAGAATTAATGGCCTGAAGCAATATCGCATACTTCAAGGCACTAATTTCGGTTTGCTTGGTGATCTCGTCTTTAACAATTTGTAATTCTGAAATATCTCCATTGTATTTGGTATCAAAAAATATAGAACGTAGCAAATCTTTTGAATACTTTTCCACGTTAATATTTGTCATAGTATTCTCCAATAACATCTTTCTATGTTTATTATCAGGATTTTCATGCCAAAAAGTTTCGACTTGTATTGTCGAAATTTTTTTAGCCTCGGCAAATTCAGTTGAATATTTTGAAATTAGATCTACCATATCATGCATAATTATATATGGTTCCAAATCTAACTTTTTTATAAAATTTATTACTTCTTCTTTATATTGAATAGCGATACTCAAAGGCTCATTAAAAATGTCCGCATAAATTGGTCCGTCGGCAATTAAAATTACTTTTGCGCCTGGTTCATAAACTGTTTCTATTTCCTTGCACAATAAGTATAGACGACCTAAACAGTTTAGTTCAGCAAGATCAGGCATTCTCCTTTCAACTTTAAGTGCATTCCTAAAGACATTTTTTTTAAAAAAAAAAAAATTAGGTTGAAAGCAACTATGAGTAAATTGAATCATTTAAACTTCAAATGGATACTGAACCAGCATTTAACGGGAAAGGATGGTAAAGCTAAAAGCAATTTTTCATTATTGGTAATTGCTTTACTTAATCGATTTTCATAATCGTCTCTTGCAACTTCAAAGTGTTTTGATGGTCCTCTCCTATAACGTTTTTTAGTCAGAATTCCAATTATTTGTTTAACAACAAGTTTGACGTCACCGGATTGTTTTTCTTTTCTAAGCTTTTTTACTTTTTCATCAAGTTGTTTTTTAAACAATTCAAAATCAAAACAAGGAATTTGTTTCCTTTGATTATGTTCTGGATTTAAGAGACTTTGGTATGATTTTATCATACCACTCATCAGAATACGGAGGATTAATACTCCATGATCGGTTTCCTTTGAGTTTTCCAATGTCAATGGATCACTTAATGTAGTTACTCTGTTAGAATCATCCATTTTTAAGCCGTGAGAAAAATTAAATTATAGTTTCTATGAAGGAAATCTGCTCACTTATATATGTATGTACTTTCTTTATACTTATTGTAAGTGGGAACAGGATTCGGAATTCTTTATTAAAATCTTTCATATCTAAACCTATAATTTTTAACTAGGAAAATCCTGAAACTTTTTGACATGGTAACGTAGTGCAAAATAATAATATTTGCTTGTAAAAATAAAATCTATTATTACATTCTAGAACACGTTACATTCTAGAAAACAGTTCGCAATTTAGTGTAGCAGATTCCGTTATTATTATCCGTATTAGGGTGTTCAGAATTCTGCAACTGCGGAAATTCTGTGAATTCAACGAAAGCCGAATTCACAGTTAGATAGTGTATTTTTATTGATCATATTTATATTAATGTTCAACCTTGTACAGAATTTGTATTTAACGAAAACTTAGCTTTTGCTGGCTCGAAACAATACTTAACGATAGTCTTAAGTCTATAAAAATTCTCTGCATAGAAAAATCTGTACGGAAAATAACTGTAGAATTCTGGACACCCTAATCCATATAATGCTATATAATGTACTTTGTTATAATGCTTTATATCGTTATGTAAATGGCATAGTTGTATTGTTAAATTACCTAAAAGAAAATAAATGGCCTTTCAAAAAATGATTTTATAGATAATAAATTTAATAATAAATTTAAATGATTTAAATAACTTGACAAAATTCGTTTCAGAACACGAATATGCGAATCTAGCATCACCCAAAAGAATCAGTTACTAATTCAATCTATTTGTTTTTAATTACGTATTATTTTATTTTTATTATTAAGGCCAACCTCTTTGTGTGTGGAATTTATATAGGTTTTATTTTGATGAATTAATGTTTAATGGATTACAAATAATATATATCGTATATCGACTAATTTAAAATTCTTTAAATTAATTTTTAATTAAATTATGTTGAGGCCAAAATACTGTAGAAAATATTTTTTGTGAAATATCTTATTTACTTTGTTTCAATAATATGAAATAGGTTATAATCTGAGTATACATTGTTTAAATAAAAAAATAAAAAAATCAAATTATTGATTATTCACACACAACCCTACTTAGAATATATGACACGAGACGATTAGATAAACTCAACGCACTACAGTCATCCTCCTCTATAATCGCGCTGTTTGTTTTACATAAAAAATGTTGTAATTATAAAATTTTAATAGCAGTGTGATTATATAAAGTTTTTTTAATAAATATATTGCCAATAATTTTTCAAAAAATAAAGAGGGTGTGATTATATAGGAGAGGAGGACGACTGTACATATACGAATAAAAAAATTCAACTAATTAACTTCATATAAAATCATATACTTATTATTAATTTTTATAACATACACTTTACCAATTCGCCAAACAACTTTCTCCCTATAAAAAAGGATTGTATAATATCCGTGTTACATGTGTGAAAAATGGTTAAAAAAGCGCCATTCTGTTTATTTTTTGTCTAACTTTTGTTTTAATTGAAATAAAACAAAAATTGGACAAAAATTAGACAGAATGGCACTTTTTCACATGCATAACATAAATTTTAGACAAATTTTATACAATCCTTTTTATAGAGTCTATGAATCGTCTATCGTTCACTGTGTACTCTCATGAACTTTTTTGCTGATAATATCACAAGAAAGGTACATAACAATTCCTTTTCCGGTGTTACCATTTTAAAGTGATAATTTATTTTGTACGAAAATGTATTCATTCAAGATCTGTTAGTATGAATACGAATGCATATATACATGTATATCCGATAGCATGTATTTAAGGAAGGCCCAAAGACCTTCATGTAAAGTAGAAGTCGTATGCCCTTTGAACACTTCTCATAATAAGGAGAAATCTCATAAATTCGTCCTATAAATCAATTGTCTACCTAAATATTCTTTCATGATGCTCTCCCAACTAAGTTAACACCGGGAAATGGTAGATCTCCGACAGAAAAATGTCGAGATACAATGCCTGCAAAAGAAGATAGCAAATCAGGGCAAGAAAAAAAAAAACAATAGCAAATTACTGATCTTCAAAAAAAAGTTTATCTACGTGATTTGAGGATCAAATTCGCACTGCGTATGCGAAAATTAAAATTTGAAAGATACTTAAAATAACCAGTGGCGATTATCACCACCCTTCCTTTGATTACACCCTATTGTAGTTTCTCCCCTTGTCCATTTGTTCTATTAATGTTATCGTGCTAATTACTTATTTTTAGAATTATAGTACAATTTTAGATTTAGATAGGGTTAGATAGGGTTAGATATAAAGGTTCAAATTTTAGTTAGGATTAGTTTTTCGGGGTTCTGAAAATTTTTGCTTAGAATTCCTGACTTTAATTACAGTTTTTAAGATATAGTATCCTTTGGTGAAGAACACCATTGATATAATTAATCAATTTAATAAACCCGTACGGGTTAGCATCTTGACGGGTCATGGGTCAAAAATTGCCTTGACCCGATCAAATAAAATAAACGAATAAATTCTAATGAATTTAAAGAACTCAAATTATGAAACAAATTTTTGATACAAAATCCAAAATATTCCAATTTAAATATTTATATCTCAAGGCAACCTCAAGTACATATACTGATATACTACAACTTAATTGTGAATTATAAATCTTTGACTTAAGTGATTATTGACTCGGTTATAACCCGGGTAACAGATATGCTTATTTTTTGGAGTGCTTAATATTGGAATAGTATGGTATTGCGAAGACACACGATGTGTAGGGATTTGGATCAAAATCCAATCCCGACAATCAAAAAAAGTTTTTTTTGAGCAATTTTACTATATAATCGCCTAAACCCTAACTCTAATATAGGCGCTCACCCTAACCTAACTTAAATGAACTTAATTTTTTGTTGTTAGAATTTTTACTGTCAGAATTTTTACTGTCAGGGGTATAAGTTGTATTGAAATTATTGAAATTTATTGTAATTTAATGCAAAAAACTTAGCTATAAAACTTATAAATGATTGTTATAATATATAGTATTTGTTTAAATTAATTTGTATTGGAGTTATCGATTTTTTTTATTATAATTTACTGTAAATATTCTATCATTAAACCTACTATCTATATTATGCACAGTAATGTAGTTAAGTCCGTTTGTATTTGACTATCATGATTTACTGTAAAAAACTGATACCAAACTTACCGACTATTGTAGTAACACATACTATACTGAAATTACAGAGTATTATGGTGACACATAGTATGTAGTTAAAGGTTGAATTGGTTTGTATTGTGATTTCTACAAAAATTACAGACTACTACACTTTTTGTTCTTGAATGTAGATGTATTTGGCATTTTAATATTTCATTTTCGGTATCATCATTATAAATAACTGGAGACTGCTGTATTTTGTCTTCAAAGTTAATTTGATTGTATTGAAATTATCGTGGTTCCTGTTCAGCTATAGGGCTCTTGTTGCTGGATATAACTTTTTACCGCCTCTTCTCTCCTCATGTCTGTAATATTTAATGGCGCTCCAGTCTTCTTTTTTGTTTGAAATAGCATAATACATCGTATGTATATATATATATGTATGCAAGTACATTATTATTACAAAAAACGTGAATAAAAGATTAAATAAAGTGCTATTATTATATTTTATAATTTACTTTGCTGCGTATAAACTATAAATACTATAAAGATCTAAAACACTTACAAAATTTCAACTGTTCAATCTTTTTCTCGATACCTTTTTGAACGATGTTTCAGTAATCAATTGTGCCAACAGTCCACTATATATATATATATATATATATATGTGCAGAAATGTTAAATATTAACATTCAGAGTTGAAATCAAAAGTTTAAACATTACCTTATTGTCATTTTCATTAAATGTAAACTCTTTTACACTGGATCCAACAAACCCATTCATACTAAAACTCAATTTTTTCTTTTTGTTCAAGTTCAATATTATCATTCGATTCTGAGTCAGATGCATCACATTTTTACCTGATACATTATCTTCAACCGAGTAAAGAAAGATTCTGAGTTAGATGCCTATAGGGTTAGGGTAAGTTAAAGATTCGGAACTAGCGTTAAATGCACTTGTTAGCGCATCTGTAATCTCTTGTTCTCTTTCTTCGTCATAAAAGAAGTCTCTAGCGTCAATATAAGCTTGTCTGCTATCTATTCCTCAATTAGTAATAAATTCACTTATCTCCTGTCAGAGAGCTTTTGATAAACCATGAAAAAAACTTTAACATTTTAATATTCTGACATAATCAGTTTGTTGTGAGTATTTAAGAACCGTAAGAACACGAATGACTTATTTTGATCGCTAAAGTTTCAAGATCAGGTGTAACTTAAAAATATTAGTTTTAGATTCATATTATCTTCAACTGAGTAAAGAAAGATTCCGAGTCAGATGCATCACATTCTTACCCAATATATTATCTTCAACCGAGTAAAAAAAAAGTATTGTTTGGACTATATTCTGTTACTTCTGAGTGTGTACTTTGAGTTTCTATATTATCAGTTTCTGCTTCATAAGGTTCTACACTTGCTATGTGATGATTTCCCAAAGTAAAATTATCATGCTTTCCATTATCATTTTTATTGCACCAGCAGTCTATGGTTAAAATATTTGAGCAATGTTGTAATGTCCAAAATCATACTCAAAAATAACTTACTGTCTTCATCGTTACAGAGAAGTCTTGTTGAATTTGCAAATTCGTATTATAGCTCATTCGACAGACTTGAATCTAAAGCATGAATTTAAATATTAAAAATAATTAACTTATATAATAGTTTGAAATAACTAATAGTTAGACATACACTTTCCTTTATTTTCCAGTTTTGTTATATTATTTCCTCCTATTTAAGAAAGGAATTAATTTAAAATATTTCATATTTGATGTAAAAATTGGCAAATATATACATTATTTTTCACAGCTCTTAATTTATCAAGATTTGCCTTTACTACTGTTACGGGGTGATTCGTAGGTTCTATACTCTATAATATAAAATATAAACTTTTATGATATAAGGCATCTCGCCAGAGACGTGACGTTGGTGATTTGGTTAATTATAATATAAGAGAATTATTATCGGGTTAGTGATATTATGTGCCCCTTCCTCGCACATAAGTGTCGTAACCAACCTTATCTAAGTTACGTCCTTTATATAAC